GAAAGGAACAGACATATTACGGATATCAACTGTGATACATAATACATACAAGAGACAATACGCAGAGCGGGACGCGTCGTAGGTGGGGCAAACAACTGCTGACTCCGTAGAACGGAGTGATCGGATAGGGTATGACGGGTCAGCAGCTGCAGTAAACAAGAGTAGGAAGGAAACACGGAAAGAATAAAAACAGAGTCGAGAATGTACAAAGGACAAGAAACTAGGTAACGAAAATAGTTAATGAAAGGGAGCTCAATGAAACACTTTTGGAAAGAGACGAAGGAAAGCAAGATAGCAACATACTGTACGCAGCGATATTCACTATCAAGTTCGGAAGTAAACAATAATGTGACAGAATAAAAACAAGCATCAGGTAACCTCTTACGGCGTAAAACAGAACATACGTAACAAGGTGGCGACCACAAGAAACAAGAATAAGATTGTCATATGGCGACGTATGCAATGGAAAGTTTGCAGTCCAAACCTAGAGAGGATCAGAATCGCCGACGAGACGGAAACCGCAATAATGGTGCTGAAACGACGTTTCATTGATGACGCAGAGGTTATTGACCGATTTACATAACGCTATTTCTGGCTGGACAATAGTAGCATTAGCTTTCGCGTATGCGCAGCATTACAGCAACGAAGTAAATTGATTTCTAGCCTAACAATGAAATATTGAGGTGACACCTGACCTTCAGGTAGTGTTTGCCAATCGTTACTGTACGCGGTGGGAAGTTGTTTCTTTGAGAATGGTAGTTGCTGTGTTTAAGATCGAGAGTTCTCCGAAGGTTCTGTTGGAGTAACAAGTAAAGTTTTGGCAGTCAGATAACAGTATGGAGTTTGTCGCGTTTAGTATTTTGCTGTTTTTCTGTCTGTGCAAGTGTGTTGTTTTTGTTGCCAATTGTTTTTCGCAGTTAAAGTCACTCTTGCTTTAACGATAATATTTGATCTATAATAGTAAAGGCATTAGAGATTCTTTTGACTGATTGTTGTTAAAAATTTTCTGAATATAATTAGAGAAGTTTATTCGGAAAGGGTGATTTTTTCGAACCGAATAGTGACTGTTTTCGAGCTGATTAATAATTGTCATTTGGGACAGTAAGGAGAGCAGCGCCGTACTCCGCTCTTAGCCGAGTTCAGTTTTAGAAATTGAAGCGTTGAAGACAGCCGCTGTAGGTAAATCCGCTGAAGAGTTCCAAGGCTGTGAAGTAATCGAATTTTCAGTTTTATTGCGTCATTTTTTGACGGTGGCTTGGGTTGGCGTTTTGGAAATTGATTGTTAGCTTTGTTAAAATTAACTTCTGAAAAGTAGATTTGTTCGCGGTTGATTCGATTTTATATTAATAATTTTCTGTTGCTGAAAAGCTGTTGTTAACCTTGTGAACGATATAAAAATTGCCTTCAGACATTATAGAACCTCTCTTTTTTAAAACTGTTAAATAGCTTGTTCGTGTGATCACCAATCTCTAAAGCGAACTGTTGTAGGCTGCGGATATGCTGACATGGCTATGAGTCTCCTACGATTCGAATATAAGATTTTTGTAGGGTTATCAATTTTGTATTCCTCGTAGTCATGAAGATCGGTCAATATGCTGTGCAAAAGAGTGCTTGGTAGAGCTAAATGTGGTGGAATGCACTGTACTCAGCTGTCGAAGTTGTAGTGAAGGCCTGTCATATACCCTGAAACAGAACCAGTCTAATTAAGCTGTAGTGAAATTGTTTCAGTCGATGAAGCATAGTTTTTTATGATTGTAGCAGTCTTAGAGAATTCTTCGTTCCGACTGGATTCTATTGGTACCGGATACCCACCCAACCTTGATAACGCTGTTGTATAGGGGAAAAGTATTTTACGGCGTCGTCATTAATCATTGTCTTGAATAAAGCGTCATTAGTCGTTATCTTGAATCATGGATCGGGAAGCGAAGTCGATTATGTGTTTGTTCATATTAGAAAATAATGCGGATAGTCTTGATACAAGCAAGTCTCACTGAAAAGGAGTAGAAAGAGTATAAGGAGTAGAAGGCTGCATCATCCATGAGGATCTGTTTGATGTATTTTCTGAGGTTCTTCTGATGAAGTTTCATCGTGTGTACGACTCGCGTCATAATATCATGTCATGTAGAACGGATGGAAAGTCCGATGGTAAGGAAATGGACCCCGCTACAGCTCTTCTGCTGTTATATGTCCCGTGTATAATCCGTAAATGGTTTCAATCTTTTACTGATTGTCACTTGATTACATGGAGTAATCCCTGCGGGTCTATTTAACCTCTGCACGTCCCACGTGGCATACTGGGTCCGACACTTACTATCGAAGGCTGTGCTTTTCTCGGTTCTGCTGATACGGAATTTTTCGATCGACTCTCAGCCAATATTGTGTCAGATTTTCTGTCATTCAAATGAAAACGGCAGTGATTGTGGCAGCGAAACGCATCGGTAAATAATGGTCTATTTTAATCGTTGCTTTGAATCATGAATTCAAAAGCCAAGGTCATTAAATGTTATTCAGACAGGTTACGAATGGATTTATCCTTCTATACCTACATAAATTACATATGTTGTCGCGAAGTCCACTAGAAAGCAAAGCCAATGGAACTCAAAGAAAAACAAAGGAAACTGTGGATTAGTTCTTAAACTTGCGAACCCGGAGCAGACTGTTTTCAGGAGAGATGTATATTAAGAGACTAAAAAACGTTTTTGGAAGGGACAACGTATTCTTCTAGAAGAGGGAAACATTAATATGGCTGTAAAAAAGATATAAAGACCTTGCTAAATAAAGTTTATTGGTTCTTTTAAATAGAAAACCTTGATTAAGAACTCTTTGAAAAGATATTGATGGCCTCATATCTGATCCTACCGAAGTATGAAAGACACTCAGTGTTGTTGCTTAACCCTGATTTGATTGTGAAATAAGGATATTAGCCTTCTCGAAGAAAAGAATGAATGTCGATACTTCTCCTCCTTCTCTTGAAAATGTGAGGGAAGCCTTAAACCAATTAAGAAACGGCAGATTGACATTCCTTCTGATGGAATGAGGCGAACTGAGCTAATTGTCTCCTGGATGGATAGATCTGAAGGAGTTAATGACTGTGAGCGACTACTGATGTGACTCAGTTACCTGAAAAGAGATTGTTTCGTTTATCTAGAAGCTGCTGTAAAATAAGGCTACTATCTATCTTTATTAAAATGTTCATGCTCATTATTATGAAAATAATTAAACAGCATCTTGAAATGATCATCAGTGAAGAACAGTCAGGCTTCAGCATTGGTATGTGGTCTTGGTGTTTGCATAACATATTTTCAGTCAGACGGCTTCTGAGAAACAAGAGAAAATCGTGGTTTGAGTTTCTAACTGTTTTCATTGATTTACCCAAGCCTTTGACTTAATCTGGAGAAATGCCCTATGAAAAATTGGTTAAAATATAATATTCCACCAAAGATTATCGCATTATGAAAAAATTGTATGATCTTTCGTTAAGCGCAGTGTGAATTTATTATGAAAGGATCGGCAAATTCTTTCGTATAAAGTTCGGAGCGTGTCATCTGTCGATGGAATCTCATTTGCCCCCTACTGTTTGCGATGTTGACTTGATGATCCAACGAAGGAGTGTAGCTAGGACGGAGACAAGATTAGTTCCTAAATTTGAAACAGACGTCTTTTAATATGATTCGAGTTGTGTTTTGTTGGCACAGTGTCTAAGAGGTCTGCTTTGAACCCTCGAGGTTCGATTCCGCTGGAAGGCAATCTTTGTCTTATTTACTAATTCCCTTAAGCAAGAGATTTGCCACACACTGTTTCAGACTGGAGTTGCTCAGACGGTAGAGCGTACAACTCATAACTGATAGGTCTCGGATTCAAACCCCGCTCAGGGTCATTTGGTCTTGTTCATTCCGAGGTTGATAAATAAGTGCCACTCTGTGGGAAAGAAAAAGGAGACTACACGCTACGCTTGCCACATGGCTGTAAACTTGTCTTGAAAATGAGACCGATGGCATTGAAACAGAGATCAACATCGCATCATCAGTTTCATGAAAAGAAGGGCCCGTCATGAAAGTGAAGCAAGACAGGCATCCCAGTGGTGACAAACTTTCTTTCCTTTCCTTCTGAACTGGGTCTCCATCAATTTAAAGAAAACAAGGTAGATGGAGCTATACCAGCAACTGGCTTAACTTTGGCGTGGGCGAAGTTGTGGGAAAATTACTGGAATATTTGTATCTTCCAAGTACTTTGGCTGTGAAGAGACAAGGGATAGCCTACATTAGGCGGAACTGTGAGCTGACGTTAGCAGTGAGAACCTAATTAAGTAAGCTCTAGGATAAAAGCATTAGCCATAACTCAATACTGGGAAAGTGCAATGCCTGTATTCTGAACATGTTTCTCCATGGTTTTGAGATGGCAGCACCGGATGTAACTGTCAATTGAAAGCTGGAAAAAAGCGGAAATGATTTTGAGACAAACATATGGAGTGAAGTGGTATGTTTAAGTATGGACTAGTGTCGTAAGGGGAGAGAATCAGATATCCGATTAAACTGGCTGATTTACTTCAGTGTCATAGCATTTAAGATGGGATCGTAGTCAGCAATTTCACGATAGTCATCGTTGCGAAGTG